ACATCTTTGTGCATCTATTGAACGTAGAAAAAAATTCGCTTGTATGGTTACCGCTTTGCATACTTGTGCGATGTGGCTTAAATGTGAAGGAGGCAAAAATTTTTGTGATGGTGGGACCAATTTTTGCTAGACGCGTGGACTTAGGAGACTCGCATAAGATGGCGAACAAGAAAGGCCACACAGGAGCTCAGTATCGGTAACGAGTATTGGGACCGCATCATTCACCCACTCCTCTCGGTATGTGCGTCCCAAATGCATGATATTTTCGCATCTGTGCAATTGTGCAGCAGTCAGCAGCACAATCAGTGACGCAAAGACCAACAGTAAGCCATAGTTGATGACTTAATTGCCACAATAGCCAGCCAGCGTTCTTCCGTGGCGTTGTCTACACTATACCTGCATCTCAGTGCCATAATCAACATTACTACCCACATCACTCATGAAGACGAATCGTCCAAAGAATATCACTCTTCTTTGATATGCAAACGATGTCCCTTAACATTTGTGACCAAGACCTTGGCGAAGTGGCAAATGTTATCAGGATAATTTACTCAGTGGGCGACATTCATGATTCATTAATTTCAAGACCGGTTTCTCGCGGAACATGAGCGCAATTTGGGTGACATGAGCGTGAAATGCCTCTTGCATTCTAATTCCTGTAAAACAAGTCTCTTTTTTCGATATTTGCGATATAAGTTAGGAGTTGTGTTGGTCGACAGGGTCAGGCTTCCTCTGGCCTGACCCTTTGGTCAATCCTTAACAACGCTGCTCTAATTACAGGCAAGATGTACCCTTATTGAAGAGCTGTCTGACTAGCTTTGACAGCGGTCAGTAAGAAGCCTTTCGTTGAAAGCATGGGCAGAAAATTTATTCAACATGCTCCACGAGGGTCAGATAGGCTCAGATATTCTTGAGCCTCTTCACCGAGGTCAAGTTAATCCTTTATTTTATGTGTACTCCGTCTAGACGGCAACTGATAGGAACAGACCTCATCCGTTGACTGTGCTTAGACTGCAATTCCATTTAAAGACGTTATGTGGGAATTGGTAGGATGAAGGCAAGCAACGTCAGTAACAGTGTTAAGCATTTCTAATCCACACTCAATTCTCCCACACTTAGTCTCCCACTTGCTCCTACGCTTTAAGTTACATTTAAACCGTGGTGCCTATGTTAATGCTAAGGCCTTTCTTTAGTCCTTCACTTAATGCTATTTCCCAGACACTTATGCATACAACCCAGCACTTACATTCATCCATAGCTGTTCCTTCCTTCTGCCTAATTCCCTTTTTCCAATCAAGTAATGCGCAAAAGATATTGAGTTTGTGCGTGTGCTGTGCATGTGAAGTTGATGTAAATGGTCAATTTCTAGGAGATTTTTGAAGCTTGTGACTCCCCACATTATCCCAATGGCATTGGTTGTGTGCAGCAGATATAAAACACGCCTTCCATGTTGGTGACGTAAATTGGCGCCTACATTTTGTCACCTATTTGAAGGCGCTGGATAGTGACTCAGTGAATCATGACTTTGCCGCATGTCTCAGAGATTGTGAACTCATGTTCAGGTATATGCAGGTTATTTAACTCGAGCGACTGATGTAGCAATATGTAACAAAGTGAAT